CTTCTCCTTTCTGCCCTTGTGCTCTCATACCTACTTCTAGCCTTCTAATTCTCTAGATACTGCAACCTGTACAAAGGCTTTCCCTAAAGTCCCTGTATGTCTGTTAAAACAACAAGCAGTCCGGTGGCACCTTAAAGACTAACAGATTTATTTGAGCATAAGCTTTCTGAAGAAGTAGGGTTTTTACCCACAAAAGCTTATGCTCAAATAAATCTGTTAGTCTTTAAGGTGCCACCGGACTCCTTGTTGTTTTTGTGGATACAGACTAACACAGTTACCCCCTGATGTATGTCTGTTGGTGCAGTGTGTAAAGCATGCGGTAAAATACATTATAAAACAAAAAGAAAAGGAGTACTTGTGGCACCTTAGAGACTAACCAATTTATTTGAGCATAAGCTTTCGTGAGCTACAGCTCACTTCATCAGTGCATCCGATGACGGGAGCTGTAGCTCACGAAAGCTTATGCTTAAATAAATTGGTTAGTCTCTAAGGTGCCACAAGTACTCCTTTTTTTTTTTTGCGAATACAGACTAACATGGCTGCTACTCTGAAACCTATTATAAAACAACTTTATTTGATATCAGAGAGACAGGATGGGTGAGGTAATATCTTTTATTGGACAAACTTTTGAGCTACACTGCACTCTTCTTCAGGTTTTGTCCCTTTTAGGGATGGGAGGTGAACCCAGGTGAATGCACTTCTAAACTCTGGGTCTTCGCTGACCAAGAATAACCAACTGTGAGTGGGGTGCAGCAGAGGGCATGGGGAGTGGCATGTTAAAGGGATATTCCTTTGTCAGACTTTCACACCACAAGGTGGGAAAATGAGTAAAGAACACCACCCAACATATTGCAGGATGGGTGTTTGCTTATGGATACATGCTTTCGAATCATGGTTGTGTTTTCGCAGATGAATGCTGGTTTCGCTTTCCCTTGTAATAGAAGTTTTATTTTGTTATATGTAGATTCAGTGCTTGTGAGTGGGGAAGTCTGGCCTCTTAATGGCACCCAAGGTTGTGTTAATTTTTCCAGATTACTTGGTGGGGACTCAATCTGGTTCTGTTTTGTATTGTTAAGAGGAACCCCTAGATATTGAACCCAGCCCTTGTAGTTGCCAGCTCCACCTGAGTAGTTTGATAGCTTGTCTCTTTCACCAACAGAAGTTGGTTCAATAAAATATACTACTTCACCCACCTTGTCTCTCTAATATCCTGGGACCAACAGGGCTACATTGCAAAGAACAATGGAAGATATAAAATTTTATTTGATATAGTGAGTGTCCCGTAATGCTGTACCTAGCTATTAAAATTTACAAGCCAGCAGTTTATGGCATAAGTGAGTGAAAACAGCTCTGAAAAGATATTGTAGATTAAATAGTATTGAAGCATTCAGTCAGTGATAAGACCAACAGCTGAGGAGAACAGACATTTAAACCATGGCTACGCTAGAGATTTTTCAGTGGTGCAGCTGTCCCAATGCAAGCCGCTGTAAGATCTCTAGTGTAGACACTCTAAGCTGATGGGAGAGAGTTTTCCTGTCAATTTAATTAATCCACCTGCAATGAGTGGCGGTAGCTATGTCAGCAGTAGAAACTCTCCCACTGACATAGCACTATATACACCAGCACTGAGGTTGGTGTAACTTATGTCACTCAGGGGGGTGGCTTACTCACACACCCCTGAATGACATAAGTTATACTACAAGGAGTCCAGTGGCACCTTAAAGACTAACAGATTTATTTGAGCTTGAGTATAAAACCCACTTCTTCAGATGCATGGAGTGAAAATTACAGATGCAGGCCTTATTATACTGACACATGAAAAGAAGGGAGTTACCTCACAAGTGGAGAACCAGTGGTGACAGGGCCAATTCAATCAGGGTATGGATGTAGCCCACTCCCAATAATTGATGAGGAGGTGTCAATTCCAAGAGAGGGAAAGTTGCTTTTGTAGTAAGCCAGCCACTCCCAATCCCTATTCAAGCCCAAATTAATGGTGTTAATTTGCAAATTACTTTTAGTTCTGCATTTTCTCTTTGAAGTCTGTTTCTGAAGGTTTTTTTGTAGATCATTGATGATGTGCTGGAGAGGTTTTAGCTGGGGACTGTATGTGATGGCCAGTGGTGTTCTGTTATTTCCTTTGTTGGGTCTGTCCTGTAGTAGGTGACTTCTGGGTACCCGTCTTGCTCTGTCAATCTGTTTCCTCACTTCCCCAGGTGGCATTGTTGTTTTAAGAATGCTTGATAAAGATCTTGTAGGTGTTTGTCTCTGTCTGAGGGATTGGAGCAAATTCGGTTGTATCTTAGGGCTTGACTGTAGACTATGGATCATGTGATATGTCCTGGATGGAAGCTGGGGCATGTAGGTAAGTATAGTGGTCAGTAGGTTTCTGGTATAGGGTGGTGTTTATGTGAACATCACTTATTTGCACTGTAGTGTCCAGGAAGTGGATCTCTTGTGTGGACTGGTCCAGGCTGAGGTTGATGGTGGGGTGGAAATGGTTGAAATCCAGGTGGAATTCTTCAAAGGGCCTCCTTCCCGTGGGTCCAGATGATGAAGATGTCATCAATGTAGCACAAGTAGAGGAGGGGCGCTAGGGGACAAGAGCTGAGGAAGCGTTGTTCTAAGTCAGCCATAAAAATGTTGGCATACTGTGGGGCCATGCGGGTACCCACAGCCGTGCTGCTGACTTGAAGGTATAAGTTATCCCCCAAATCTGAAATGGTTGTGGGTGAGGACAAAGTCACAAAGCTCAGCCACCAGGTGTGCCGTGGCCTCATCAGGGATACTGTTCCTGATAGCATGTAGTCCATCTTCATGTGGAATATTGGTGTAAAGAGCTTCTACATCCATGGTGGCCAGGATGGTGTTTTCAGGAAGATCACCAATACATTGTAGTTTCCTCAGGAAGTCAGTGGTGTCTCGAAGATAGCTAGGAGTGCTGGTAGCATAGGGTCTGAGGAGAGAGTCCAAATAGTCAGATAATCCTGCTGTAAGAGTGCTGATGCCTGAGATGATGGGTCATCCAGGGTTTCCAGGTTTATGGAGCTTGGGTAGCAGATAGAATACCCCTGGTCGGGGCTCTGGGGGTGTGTCCATGTAGATTTGTTCCTGTGCTATAGCAGGGAGTTTCTTGAGCAGATGGTGTAGTTTCTTTTGTACTCCTCAGTGGGATCAGAGGATAGTGGTCTGGCAGCCTCCTGTTCATAATCCGACCTGTTCATTATGACTATAGCACCTCCTTTGTCAGCCCCTTTGATTATAATGTCAGAGTTGTTTCTCTGACATTCTCTGTTGATAAGTTATACTGACATAAATGGTAGAGTAGTCATAGGCTAAGAGTTGTAGTTAAGGAGGAAAAGCATAATGATTCTTATTGCCAATCTCAAGGGCTCAAAAATGTCAGGTTTTAAAAAAAAATTAGATTGTCTTAAAATTAGGAGATTTTAAAAATAATTAATGTTGGGTTCTTTTTATTTGGCTTCTGACTTTTGAGCTTTTAAAGGGTCACATTTTCAAGCTTTCTTCACATCCATGTGAGGTAGAAATTTTTTTTTTTAAATGAAAGCTGTAATTCTCCCATAATCACCTGACTCTAGGAGCTAGGGCTTTAACAAACATCAGCTCTTGCAAGACTTGCAATAAAATTGCAAGTTGGCAACACAGAACAAGTAGATCTTCAAAATACTTTACAAACTAGAAAATCCTCACACCTATGTGTAAAAAGAAAAGGAGGACTTGTGGCATCTTAGAGACTAACCAATTTATTTGAGCATAAGCTTTCGCCTATGTGTGTTAACAAATAAGTCATGATCTTGCTTTACAGATGGGGAAACTGTAAGCCATTAAGTAACTTGGCCACAGTCATACTTCAAGTCAGTGGCAGAACCAAGATCAGAATTCAGGAGTTGCTGACTGTAACCCAGTTCCATGCTCTAACCACTAGGCTTTACGGCCTCTCTATTTTCAAGTAAAAGAACTCAGTGAGGCAAAGAGATACAAGAAAATTATCTTCCAGCTAACTTGTGTCAGGAACTGCAGGGGAGAAAACTCTTGCCCCACCAAATTTGAAGGCATCACGAGAAGGGACAAAGGGAAGACTGGCAATAGACGAGCTTAGGGAAGCAGGAAAGAGATAGGATGCATGCTGTTAAAACCATTTTAAACTGTGGAAGGATGGTGAAGTGGGGAGAATGTTAACTTGGGACATGTGAGAGCTAGCTTGAATTCTCTGCTTTGCGACAGATTTCCTATGGGACTGCGGGCAAGTCACTTGGACCTGATTACTACATGCTGATTTTACTGGTATAACTATTTTGGTTACTGAAATAGTTTTACGTGAAAAACCCTGAGTGTGTATGCAATTATATTGGTATAAAGCATCTTTCTAGTGCTATAACTATGTGAACACATGCATGGGTTGTATTGCTTCAATTTTACCAATACAGTACAACTTCTTTGAGTAGATAAGGCCTTTTTCTCTCTGGCCCAAATCCTCAAAGATATTTAGGCACCTAACTCCCATTGGTCTCAGGGGAATTAGGTGCCTAGATACTTTTGAGGATCTGACCCTCTGTGCCTCAGTTCCCCATGTGTAAAATGGGATCAGTATATTAAAGACTGAGAGGTGCTCGGACAGGCAGAAAGGCCCAGATAGATGCCTAAATACCTTTGAGGATGTGGGCTGTTGCTCCTGAAATGAATGGGGCAGGAGCCACTGCAGTAGCTTGTGAATGGTGCTAAAACACATATTGGTCGCATGATAGCAGGGAGACTGTGTTGCTTTGATTGTACTTTTACATCTATTGGCATGGTGCCTGTCATGCTTTTAGATTGTATCTCAGTCTCATGCTGAGTCCTATGGTTTGATTAAAGATCATTAAGCAGCAGTGGGATGAAACATCACTGAATGACAGGTTTCAGAGTGGTAGCCGTGTTAGGGGGAGGAGCTTTCGTTTTGCACAGAGTACTTAATACACAGGACAGTAAGACACAAATTCCGAGTCACAGCACCTTTAAAGGGAGAATGGGTTAGAAGGTGTTTCCATGGGATTCAGAGACACTCGGTACTTGGTGCCAAAGCCCCTCAGATTCTTATGCTCCTCCAAAGGCGAGAGAGGAGAAGAAGAAAGCTTGCTGTAGTCCCTTCCTATTGCTGAGTCATTAACTTCTTTTTGCTGAGTCATTCTGCAGCTGTGTCTGACAAACCAGGAGACAGACAAGCAGGAAGGCTCAAGGTAGGTAGCATCTGCAGACTGAAATGGCTGGGTTGTAAAACTGGCTGATTATGTGAAAAATGGAACTGGCCTCTGGAGGAGTGGTAAGCACTGCACCTTGAATTTAAATCAGGCAGCAATGCTGTGAACAAAGAAGGGGGAGCTGCAGTGGCAGTCTGGAATTGGCTATTTTGTTTTAACTCTAGAACTGGTAGGTTATTTTGGTTACAATGTGGGGGCGGTGGGATAAAGTTTAAAATATTATGTAGTTTGTTGGTATAAAGAATTAAGAAACATCTCGCCATGTGACAGATGGTGTGAAATGTCTGTTCACCACTTATGTTAAAAAGACACTGTCAGTGTTAACGTCAAGGTCCATCTTGTTTAAGATTTTTATAAAAACTGTTAGAAGAAAACTATCTTGTTGTTTATATTGCTGTACCACCCATTGATCTCCCTCAGGATGGGGATATTGTGCCAGGTCACTGTGCAGCTGTTTTTGTTTGCATTTGAACCTTGTTCTGCAAGTGTTTGCTACCCCAGACACTGCAAGGAGGCGCATGAAAGCCAGGAAGTGAAAGTGATTTATCATCTTCCATTGTTGTATGCAGTGTTGTTTTCACCATGTTGGTCCATGGATATGAGAGAGAGAGAGACAGCTTTCAAGCCACACAGAGCTCTTCTCTCTCACCAGTAAAAGTGGGTCCAGTAAAAGATATCACCTCACACACCATATCTCACTAAAGTGAGTCAGTTTTACCGTTCAAACTGAGTGAAATACAAGAAAGCAGGGACTATAAAAATTTTGAAATGAGTCATTTAAAAAAACCCTTTTGATTTTCATAATCTTTGGTGTTGCATGTTACACAGTCAGGAAAGTGGTTTGGTAGGGGTTTTAGGTAAGATTTATCATTTGGTAGCATGCTATGTTAATGGCTTTTTGCACTGTGGAAATGAGGTGGAGTCCCCCTTGTAACAAATAATATTAACACATATATAGTGCTTTTGTTTTTTAAAGCCACAGTACTGAGATTCAGGGTCTGGTTTTCAAAAGAGCTCAGCACACTGGATGCGGAATTCTTTTGAAAATCTGGCCACTAGTATGAGTGCTGAGCTCTCCAAAATCTGATCCTTTGGGATTCACTTTTAGAGGGGCTGAGCCTCCAGAACTCCAGATGAAGTCAACAGCTGCAAGTGCTCAGTGCTTTTGGCAATCAGGCTGTAATTTATAAAGCCTCACAAAACCCCTCCTCTGGGAGATAAAAAGTAGCCCTGTTCTCAGGTAGAAAAAGGAAGGCAGAGATGTCATGTGTTTTGCCCAAGACCAAACAGCCAGTCACGTTTTTTTATTCTGTGTGCTGCAGGTGGACTTGAAGAATGCACCACAAATTATTTTATTTTTTTCTCCTCCTGTATTTTTATTGAGGCTGGTTTACATACATATGGTTGCATGGTAATGTTTGAAATAAACACAACATAATTGCTATAGTGTTACTCAGTCTGATTTACAGACCTTCCCACCCGGGGATAGGGGTTATTAACTGATGGGGTTATTGTCCCTCTAGAGGGATATTTGTAAACTTACCTTTGGTCTCCTGATATGTACAAGGAGAGGGTGTTCTATTAAAGCTCTGAACACACCATTTCACAGCCATAAATATGCCGATCACCACCTGAAGTGTTCAATATAGATTTTTCTCATGAGCGCACAAAGCTTTTTTTAATCTGTGAGCGAAGGCATTTTCCAGGAAAAAGAAAGGCATTCTCCTTGTGGTCCTTGAATGGCTTTTCTCAGGTGTGGTCCTGGGAGAGAACATGGCTCTCAAGAAATTAAACAGTAAATGCCTAGCTGAAAAACATTCAAGCGACAGCCTCCGCGGAGGAGTAAGAATGTACTGTACTGGTTATTACAGTGGGGGGGGCGGCAGCAGCACTGGAGGTGAGGTTGAGCTTAGTTTACTTTTTGACAGCCAATTTTTCAAAGTGCTCTAAAATCCACACGCTTACTTTGAGTCGCCTTGAAACTTGCTGTGCTTCACCAAGGTCCAGGATCGGGTTAATGGTACAAAGTTTAGATTGTTAGGACAAAGGTTTCCTGATGTAAAACCTTACTTAAATCATGGGACATCAAAATTTTATAGTTTTTATATATGCACACACACACACAAACACACTTTCTATATTATTTATTTAGTAAGGAAGGATTAATAGATTTACAAATCCTTGCCATGTATAAATCAAACAAAACAGCATTACAACAGTGAGCTTTTGTTTAAAGAGACATTCAGGAATGCAGTCACCAGATCTCTCTGGATTTAATATTTTTTGCCTACAACTCGGGCTCACCTATGGCTCTGATCTTCCCCAAACATATGCCAGCTCAGATCACCCTCCTGAAGCTGATCTCAGCTTGCATCTGGCACCCACTGCTCCTTTGGGGAAGCAATATTTTAAGAAGTTATTCAGGGTAGAGAAGTTGGATCTACAGTGTGGTTCAAGCCAAGTGGATGAGCCAGAGTAACAAGGTGGCTGAGGTAATATCTGGTGTCTCTCACCAACAGAAGCTGGTCCAATAAAAGATATCACCTTAATCACCTTGTGTCTCTAATAACCTTGGACTGACATGGCTACAAGAACAATGTAAGAGCCAGAGTAAGTCATTTGTGCACATGCAGCAAGATTGGGGCTCTGTCGCAAGCCAGATGTTGGAGTATGTGGGTGGCTCATGGTGACATACTGTGGCCATTGAACCCACCTGGCACCCACATAAAACAGCAACTTATGTTTATCCTGAAAAATACTCAAGCAGCATATTTAACTATTTATAGGTTTCAGAGTAACAGCTGTGTTAGTCTGTATTCGCAAAAAGAAAAGGAGGACTTGTGGCACCTTAGAGACTAATCAATTTATTTGAGCATAAGCTTTCGTGAGCTACAGCTCACTTCATTGGATGCATACTGTGGAAACTGCAGAAGACATTATATACACAGAGACCATGAAACAATACCTCCTCCCACCCCACTCTCCTGCTGGTAATAGTTTCTCTAAAGTGATCACTTTCCTTACAATGTGTATGATAATCAAGTTGGGCCATTTCCAACACAAATCCAGGTTTTCTCACCCTTCCCCCCCACACACACACACAAACTCACTCTCCTGCTGGTAATAGCCCATCCAAATTGACCACTCTCTTTACAATGTGTATGATAATCAAGGTGGACCATTTCCAGCACAAATCCAGGTTTTCTCAAACCCCCCCCCCTTTTTTCCAAAAACCACACACACAAACTCACTCTCCTGCTGGTAATAGCTTATCCAAATGGACCACTCTCCTTACAATGTGTATGAAAATCAAGGTGGGCCATTTCCAGCACAAATCCAGGTTTTCTCACCCCCCCACCCCCCCACACACACAAACTCACTCTCCTGCTGGTAATAGCTCATCCAAACTGACCACTCTCCTTACAATGTGTATAATAATCAAGGTGGGCCATTTCCAGCATAAATCCAAGTTTAACCAGAACGTCTGGGGGGCGGCGGGGGTGAGAAACAAGGGGAAATAGGCTACCTTGCATAATGACTTAGCCACTCCTGGTCTCTATTTAAGCCTAAATTAATAGTATCCAATTTGCAAATGAATTCCAATTCAGCAGTTTCTCGCTGGAGTCTGGATTTGAAGTTTTTTTGTTTTAAGATAGCGACCTTCATGTCTGTAATTGCGTGACCAGAGAGATTGAAGTGTTCTCCGACTGGTTTATGAATGTTATAATTCTTGACATCTGATTTGTGTCCATTTATTCTTTTACGTAGAGACTGTCCAGTTTGACCAATGTACATGGCAGAGGGGCATTGCTGGCACATGATGGCATATATCACATTGGTGGATGTGCAGGTGAACGAGCCTCTGATAGTGTGGCTGATGTTATTAGGCCCTGTGATGGTGTCCCCTGAATAGATATGTGGGCACAGTTGGCAACGGGCTTTGTTGCAAGGATAGGTTCCTGGGTTAGTGGTTCTGTTGTGTGGTATGTGGTTGTTGGTGAGTATTTGCTTCAGGTTGGGGGGCTGTCTGTAGGCAAGGACTGGCCTGTCTCCCAAGATTTGTGAGAGTGTTGGGTCATCCTTCAGGATAGGTTGTAGATCCTTAATAATGCGTTGGAGGGGTTTTAGTTGGGGGCTGAAGGTGACGGCTAGTGACGTTCTGTTATTTTCTTTGTTAGGCCTGTCCTGTAGTAGGTGACTTCTGGGAACTCTTCTGGCTCTATCAATCTGTATCGGGCATTGGCACCCTGACAGCAGGATTGTCTGGCTATGTAGACTCCCTCCTCAGGCCCTACGCTACCAGCACTCCCAGCTACCTTTGAGACACCACTGACTTCCTGAGGAAACTACAATCCATCGGTGATCTTCCTGATAACACCATCCTGAACACTATGGATTTAGAAGCCCTCTACACCAACATTCCACACAAAGATGGACTACAAGACGTCAAGAACACTATCCCCAATAATGTCACGGCTAACCCAGTGGCTGAACTTTGTGACTTTGTCCTGACCCATAACTATTTTACATTTGGGGACAATGTATACCTTCAGATCAGCGGCACTGCTATGAGTACCCGCATGGCCCCACAGTATGCAAACATTTTTATGGCTGATTTAGAACAACGCTTCCTCAGCTCCCGTCCCCTAACGCCCCTACTCTATTTGCGCTATATTGATGATGTCTTCATCATCTGGACCCATGGAAAAGAAGCCCTTGAGGAATTCCACCATGATTTCAACAATTTCCATCCCACCATCAACTTCAGCCTGGTCCAGTCCACACAAGAGATACACTTCCTGGACACTACAGTGCTAATAAACAATGGTCACATAAACACCACCCTATACCGGAAACCTACTGACTGCTATTCCTACCTACATGCCTCCAGCTTTCACCCTGACCACACCACACGATCCATCATCTACAGCCAAGCTCTGCGATACAACCGCATTTGCTCCAACCCCTCAGACAGAGACAAACACCTACAAGATCTCCATCAAGCATTCTTACAACTACAATACCCACCTGCGGAAGTGAAGAAACAGATTGATAGAGCCAGAAGAGTTCCCAGAAGTCACCTACTACAGGACAGGCCTAACAAAGAAAATAACAGAACGTCACTAGCCGTCACCTTCAGCCCCCAACTAAAACCCCTCCAACGCATTATTAAGGATCTACAACCTATCCTGAAGGATGACCCAACACTCTCACAAATCTTGGGAGACAGGCCAGTCCTTGCCTACAGACAGCCCCCCAACCTGAAGCAAATACTCACCAACAACCACATACCACACAACAGAACCACTAACCCAGGAACCTATCCTTGCAACAAAGCCCGTTGCCAACTGTGCCCACATATCTATTCAGGGGACACCATCACAGGGCCTAATAACATCAGCCACACTATCAGAGGCTCGTTCACCTGCACATCCACCAATGTGATATATGCCATCATGTGCCAGCAATGCCCCTCTGCCATGTACATTGGTCAAACTGGACAGTCTCTACGTAAAAGAATAAATGGACACAAATCAGATGTCAAGAATTATAACATTCATAAACCAGTCGGAGAACACTTCAATCTCTCTGGTCACGCAATTACAGACATGAAGGTCGCTATCTTAAAACAAAAAAACTTCAAATCCAGACTCCAGCGAGAAACTGCTGAATTGGAATTCATTTGCAAATTGGATACTATTAATTTAGGCTTAAATAGAGACCAGGAGTGGCTAAGTCATTATGCAAGGTAGCCTATTTCCCCTTGTTTTTTCCCGTTGTTTCTCACCCTCGCCGCCCCCCAGACGTTCTGGTTAAACTTGGATTTATGCTGGAAATGGCCCACCTTGATTATCATACACATTGTAAGGAGAGTGGTCACTTTAGATAAACTATTACCAGCAGGAGAGTGGGGTGGGAGGAGGTATTGTTTCATGGTCTCTGTGTATATAATGTCTTCTGCAGTTTCCACAGTATGCAGCCGATGAAGTGAGCTGTAGCTCACGAAAGCTCATGCTCAGATAAATTGGTTAGTCTCTAAGGTGCCACAAGTCCTCCTTTTCTTTTAACTATTTATAATCGTTCATCCAAATGACAACACAAAGGTTTACACTTGTCACTGTCTCCTTTCTAAGTGCTCCAGTTCCTTGGAAAAAAAGGTGTGAAGGAGGATAGAGCTGGTAGCTGAGGGGCAGTGGGGTGATCCCAAGAAGCCTCCTCATGTACCATCCCTCCAGCGCTCCCTCGCCATGCCCCCTACTACTACCACCACTTCTTCAAAAAGGGGGAAATTTATTCACATGGAGTTAAGGATGACCAACAGTGCCTCCCACCATTCCAGGCATTGAGTGCACCTCTGAAAACCAGGGAATACAGAGTTATGGTACATACCAGCCCCTGCCCCACAAATTTAAGTTTGCCCTCTCTGAGTGGTGCCCCAGACACCCCAGCACTGTATCACTCTGCTGCAATGTACTCCTTGCACCAGTCATTACAGCTGTCCCTAACGCAGTGAAGGGTAGCTGGGGAGTGCCTCTGAATGAATGAGTGAAAACACTTCTGTAGGACACCATACTACATGAAATGCCACATTCCTCTATCATTCCTCACATCTACTTATTATAGAACTGCTCTGGCTGAAGCCTACTTACAGTCAATGTTCCCTCTAATTTTTGACAGGCCGTGTGCGCAAAAAATTTCTTCTGTGCAAATTATTGTGCATGCGTTGTTTTGCTGTGTGTGCAGGGTTTAGGATCTGTGTGCGCACGCACACACGCACAGCTTAGAGGGAACAGTGCTTACAGTATATCTCCAGTGACTCTTGCCAGCTTCAGTGGGCAGAGTTAAGGTTGTAGGGTGGGGCTGGTGTGTACCACAGCTCTCTATGGGCTGGTTTTCAGAGTTTAAATATAGGTTTACTCAACGCTCAGGAAGGGTACAGGCACGGCCAGCCAGTTACCCTTCACTCTGAATTAATGAGTTTTTAGGTAGTGAGTAACAAGTAGCACTTAGCCAGCGCTTTATGTTTTTAAAGCATTGCACAAATATTAAATAATGAAGCTTCACAGCACAAGTGGAAAGTAAGTACATTTTAGGCAATAGCCCCATTTTGTTTATGAGAAAATACGCCTGAGGAGAATAAACAATTTGCCCCAAATCCTGGAGAGTTATTTGGAGAGCAGGTACTAGACATTGGGACTTTGTATCTCAAAGTCCTCAAGACTGAGCCACCTCTGGAGAAACACTCCACAATGAAAAAGGATCCCAAACAGCTTCCAAAATAGCAGTGGATTTGGTGAACTAGACCCAAAACAGAAGAGCACTGTGCCTGATTTGTGAGACTGTAGGCACATAGTAGCCATCTGGGGTTGCAGCCATTACCGTCCTCAGCTACTCACATAGAGTGTTTTCACCCTGGAGCTGGGGTGTGATTCCCAGCTCCATGAGACATACCTGTGGTAGCTCTGATCAAGCCAGCGCTCTAGAACTAGAGAGTAGCTGCCACTAGTAGTGTGAGCAGTGAGAGAAGCCAGCCATCCTGAGGACATAGCTATGGGTCTCTGAAGGACACACACTCAGGATAGCTAGTCCCTCCTGCTGCTTGCACCACCCTGGCTACATTTTAGTGCACTAGGTCAGTCAGAGCTTGTATGGTATGTCTCCTCAAGTTGGGAATCACATCCCCCGCTCAAAATGTAGACACACCCATAGATGCAGAATGCAGCCATGACCATTAGCTGCCACAAACAGGGACACAAAACAGCTCCATTCCCTTGCCACCTGGGGTCAACTGCCATGGATGTTAGTCACAAACTTCCATTGATTTCAATAGGAGCAGGACTGGGCTCTTGGTCAGGAGAGTGAAGTGCTTAGAATGTAGACACTGATTGTGTCTGACATTACACCACTAGAGGGCAGTACTATGCACAGCCATTCAGTTAAAAGAAAAGGAGTACTTGTGGCACCTTAGAGACTAACCAATTTATTTGAGCATGAGCTTTCGTGAGCTACAGCTCACTTCATCAGGTGCCACAAGTACTCCTTTTCTTTTTGCGAATACAGACTAACACGGCTGTTCCTCTGAAACCAGCCATTCAGTTAACACCTATAGGAGGCATGCAGGAGACCGATTATGTGGACCTAATGAAGGGGACACATTCAGAGAGGCCAGGAAGGGATGGTGCTGTCCAAGGAGCTCCTTTCACAAGCTAATGAACAGAAGGACATTCATCCCCACATAGTGAGAGAGCAAGAAATGCAAGATCCCAACTGCTGCGAGTCCAATAAGAATCCAGAGAACTCCAGTGCTGAAATACATTGGGGCTAACCTGGAGGGAGACAGAGTGCGCAGACTTAGAAGCATTGGCCTCTCATAAGGGGAATAATATACCCCGAGAGAGAGAAGTGGGGAGAGAGTATAGTGAAACCCATCAGACTCCCATTCACACCTCCCTATGGCCCCTAGAAGGGAAGGTGAGGTTAGAACTCTCCCATCTGTACTAAGTTCCTTCCCCTTGTGCTAGCTTGCCCCAGGCGCATGCACGCACACACACAAATACCGCATGTGATCAGGGGAAGCTCAGAACCCCACGAAGCAGAAAACTCTCCTTGTGTCTCTTCTGTACACTTAGCCCTAATCCTATATCCAAGCTCATATTAATGGCTTCTGGCTCCCTATAATATTTAACACAGTACTCATCAAACACCTGCCATGACATCGTGATGTTAAAGAGGCCCCTATAAATATCTGTGGGCTCTAATTCCCTAACTGTATTTTTATATTCCAGGGAAGAGAACTCTTGACAGTTCTGACTCATGCTGATCTTTCTAACAGAGGTAGGGATCCTGCTGCATCCTGAATAGGCAGCAGGACAGCAGTCTCAGAAACCAAACTCTTCCACACCCCAAGTGCTTTAAATCCCATGCCCAAGACCCCAAAAGAAGAAGTCCACGCCCCACCACAGCAGGGCTCCATTACCTTCCCAAGGAGGACTCCTTATACCCCACAAAATAGTGGTAGCGGGAATAGAGATAAAGCAGGCCCAAGGCAGCAGTCAGACCTGCAATCGAGAGGAGGAGACAAATTACAGTAGCTGACACCAAAGGCTTTTTGGAACTTTTTGACCAGCCTGTCCCTCTAAGGCTAAAGCCTCTAGGGAAGATCCTGACTGTTCCCTCTCTATTGCGGGTGCAATCTTGCCAGAGAGCTGAGGAAGCAAGTCCTGTTGACTCTGCCCACCGGGCCGGCACAGAGCTAAACAGATCCAGCTTCCCCCACGCCCCCCATTTAACCAACTCACCTTGATGGAAGAAGAGGCCAGCCTGCCAGAGAACAGCCAAGAAAATGGAGAAATACTCAGAGCAATTCACCCTGGAGGAAAAGAGGAAGAATAAGGTCAGCATGCTGCATCTCTCTGGGGCTTTCCAGTGGCTCCAGACTTCTGCTTTTCCATAGACTACTTCTCTGTAAAGCAGTGCTCAGTGGCTTGCACCCATTCCTTTCCTGCCACCGTCTTCAGAATAAATCTCTTATCTAAACCCAGCTAATGGGGTTCTATGGAGTAACTCAGAGCAGAATCTGGGCCATAATACTCAATTACTGTGATTTCTTCCCATAAGTTTTCAGAGTGCTTTTCACTCACCCAGCACCCTGGGCAGTGGTGAGCCTGGTGCCTGAGATTTCTGATACATGCATCCTTCTCCTCACCTTCCCTTATATTTTCCTTGGCAGTTTGGTTCCAAGTTGGTAGAATGGTTGTGTGCTCTGTTCGCCATTGCAGCCATCTTCACGAATGATCTAGTCTGAGATTACAGATCTGAGGACTATCTCCTGCACTGTCAGGGAAGTGGAATAAATGATCCCAGTAGGGTTTTCCCATGTTTCGGATCAGATCCTGCACCCCTGCTCTGGTGATGCAGAGGAGATGGAAACTGGCCACGTCTCCTTAACTAGGGATTACCCCGGTGAGCATAGAGCCTCCTATGCCATTCTCCCTCCCCACTACAATACCTGACACAGGGGCTATGTCAGGGGCACTGTACTCTGGCTATTCCCAGTTGACGGATCTCCCTGGGAGCTGTTACCAGCTGATGGAGTTTAGCGCTACAATTAGGCTATTCTAAACTCTGTTAGGGTTGGTGTAAAACCAGTCTGGGATCAGAGATCTAGATCTGGATCCCCATCATCCTCCCTACTCCATTCTGTGTGCTGTGCCCAAGGCTGGTTTCTGTCATCTATAGCCGAAAGGTATATAAGTGAAAGTCTTAAACTGAACCATAGTGGCTAACTTCTAAGCAGTCCTAACACCGACACTAATAAATGCAAGTGAGTCTGGCATTGTGGGGTCCTCCCTGAGATGAAACCTTGGCATCAGTGCCAAACTGAACCAGCCAGAGTAGGAAGGATGTATAGCAATAATCAGTCCCCTCTGTTTAAAATGCGGCAAGCCTTCCACCAAGACAGCAGGCTGATTGACAGAGCAGGGAGATGGGCAGCATGATTAGTCATTGCCATTCTGTCAGCCATATAGCCCCTACAGCTCCCTCTCTCTGGCCTCCCAATACTGTAACCACCTGCAGTCCTGGGAGAAGTCTTGTGAGCAAACTGTCTGATCAAACTCTGTCAGCAAAGATGACATAGGAGGCTACTATGGCCCCATGAAGCAGGTCATAACAAAAAACAACGTCTTACTGTGCTCGAAAGACCCTCTCAAAATCAGGTGGCCCTGAGACTTTTGGAGGAGAGATCCCGTACGCCCGCCTGGCATAGATCACCTGGAGGGAGAAGTAAGCTGCAAAGAAAGAAACAAGAAAGCATGATCTCGGCAGCCTTCATGGAGACCAGGAGACTGTCATAGATGATGGAGCTCAGTGTTGTGCTACAAGGGCTTGTTAACATTCCACCACCACATGAAAGAAAAGGTTGGTGTAACGTCCCTGCATGCAGTGGAGTCATTTCCCCCCACACCTTATACTGCTATTGTTATATTAGCTCTACCATAAAAGAGTTATACCCAGGACTCAGACAAATATTTCTGAAGAAAAAAAAGTGATGCCTTTGGAAGGGACCAGATTTCTCCACTAGTGAGAGATTTTCAAGGGTTTCCAGAGAGAGGATCTCTCCAGCTCTGACAAAGCTCCACACACATCATCCAGATTTCACAGGACAGACTTACATTACACTAGCCACATATTGGTCTAATTTCAGGAACATGATACAAATATTTCCAGCCTGTGCACTTGATATAGTGTCAGTTACCACTTACATCTCCCATCTTAGTTCTGAGGATGAGAAAAATATTTTTAAATGGAAGACAAATCAATTTCCTAATCCCTCATCCTTCCTTTCTGCAACACATGCACCTCTTGAACAGGTGTTTCACAGACCAAAGAATGAAGAGACCTGATTCTCATTTACATTAAAGCATCCCTGCACGTCTCTGGTTCTGGAAAACGGGCCTTCTAATCCGATTGTAACCTTTAAAGTGGGCTTACAAGACCCCTTTCCATGATAAACGTGGTATAAATTGCTCTTAGTGTAAATAAGAATCAGGCCCAATTTTTTGGTGAGCTGCATACTGGAAATTTGGCAACGTATCAGTGACAAATCTGGAAGGAATTTCCTAGACAGTAAAGTCCAAACCCATATAGTAATGTCCCGTGGACTACTTCAGCATGCTCTTGGTGGCTGTTCCTTTGCCTAATCACTCTTAGGAAGGCGGTTCTTGTGTCCAAACTTCCCCTTTCTCCAGTTTCAGACCTGTAATACACCACCAGCCAAGTTTCCTCCACATCTTTCTGATTACCCCACTCTGCCTCTAGACAACACCCTCTTTGTTTCTATATTAGATTTTTTATTTAGAATGATCAATGGACCAACATTTTTAGGGGCAGGTCCGCCAATCAGACTTGTCCATTGTGAGGTCTGAGGGGGCATAATTTCCTGTGGACTTTCTGGTCTTGGCTATAACTTTTTGCCATGTTTGTCACCTGGTTCTAATATGGTTGATTACCATCATGATGCACATCTATGTCTACAACATGGTAATGGATGGCTCACAATGAGGTGAGCGTAGACGATGCTCAGACTTTGAGACCAAGGCTATACTGTGATTTTTCTGGGAGTAAGTTAAACCATTTTCTGGAGTAAGTGAGACTGTCTTTGCTCTGTTCTTCTGCAGCATACATAGGAGCACCTATGTCTCCATAATTGGGTACAACATTCCACCTTCCTTCCACACAGAGGTGTGGGAGGATACAAAGTGCTTAGCACTATGTGTCAAGACTCAATATGAAATCAGATTCTCCCAGGACTCACCCCCTATGCCAGCTATGTCAGCACAGCTACCTATGTAACCAGAAAGAACCAGCGTGACTCAGTCTCATCTCTTGTCTCTAACCCAAATACCTTGCACTGTGAGAAACTGCCTAGAAAAGGTCACCTGAATTTGAGGCAGTCTTAGGAATCAGTGGGTAGCCACTACAACAGCTACTTTTACAAAGTCTGGACTGTTCATACAACCAGAAGTTCTGAAAGCACTGAGGGACAGCCATTAGTGAAGGAAGCAAACCCGACTATGCAGGCATGGATAAGTGGCCCCAACCACACTGCAAAAACACCACTGTAGAATCCAGTTACTCTTAGACAATCAGCCTGGCCACCAGCAAGTCAACTATGTTCACAAAGGGGACTCATTACAGTCTACTTATAAGCAGACCAAAGAGTGATTATATAGACCAGGCCTGTTATTTTCAAAGGAAAGAGAAGACACAAACATATCTCTCTCATTTGCATCATAGTACCAGATTTTGAAGTCCCAGATTTCCTACTACTGAGGAATCTGATGGAACACACTATTACCTTTTACCTCCTGAGTCACACCACAGCAACCACACACACTCGTGACTCTCATGCTCCCTGGGTCCAGGGAGCTGGCTTTAGGAAGAAGTAATGTGTGTATATGTGTGTGTGTGTGTGTATCCTATGTAGGAGCCATTGAAAGCCTAGGGTCATTAGAAAGCATGTAAAAATGGCCAATGGCAGCAGATAATCCTACGTACTGTTTGCAAGCGCCCGGTCAGACCTGCCAGAAAACCATGCACACGGATTTCTGAAAACCTTTCCAGCCACTCGGTTTTTTACCATGTAGTGCGGAACCAGATCTAGAGAGATTCCCTTCCTACCAGAACCCCTTGCTTCCTGTCTGCCGAAGGGTTTTTTTCCATTGCTTCTGGTCACTCTACTCTTCTGCAGTTGTGACATTGTTTGGTTTTCTTTTTGTTTGCACTGTCCATGGACTCTTTTGTTTGAAGTCCATGGACCCTGCAGGAAAGAATTAGCCTATTTGTAAAATGGAGAGATTCTTCTGTTTCCTGGGGAGCTTTCTACATTTGTAAAGTGAGATGTATCAAGAAATGCCCAAGTGAGAGACTGGGTATATTTGCACTACAAGTACTACAGCTATGCTGTCTCGACATTTCCTATGCTGATGGAAGGGTTTTTTCCGTTGATGCAGGTAATCCACTTCTCTGAGAAACAGTAACTACTTCGACAGGGGAATTCTTCCTTCGACATAGCTGCATCTGGAGCAGGTCAACCTAACTACGTCGCCACAGGCCACAAAATTTTTCACAGACCCAAGCAATGTAGCTAGGTTGACTTAAGTTTTAGGTTTACACCAGCCCTGAGAAAGATGTCCTTCCCTCAGACTCCCCCACCCTATTACTCTGGCATCACTGACAGCCCTTCTGGTAATGCATTTAGAAAACCAGCCCAAATACTCATTCAGCATCTGAAGAGCTACAGGAACAATGGCAGAAATTTAATATACAAAGCAGGACTGTGACAGGGTTTTCTCTACTCACCACTTGGCTCGTTCCATTAGACTAATTCCAGCTAATTCCTCAGATGAGCCACAAGCCTTGTGGCTCATCTGAGGAATTAGCTGGAATTAGTCTGATGCCCCTTCCTGTAGTTATTCAGCCAGGAACTGCAGCAATTTCCTCTTCATGGCTTAGCCCTCTGGCTAAGTCACATTAAAGTTCTCCCCACTTACAGAGTATCATCAAAGTCTGCTTCCAACCACCACCAAATGGGCTATCCCTAGTGTGTCACTGTCACTCCAGCAGTGACACGTAGGGGAACCTAGGTCCATCCTTTACACCTAGGGTTGCCAGGCATCTGTTTTTTTTACCAGAATGCCCGGTCGAAAAGGGACCCTGGTGGCTCCGGTCAGCACTGCTGACCAGGCCGTTAAAAGTCCAATTGTCAGTGCAGCAGGGCTAAGGCAGGCCCCAACCCCGTACCCCAACCCTAAGCTTCCTCCTGCACCCCAAACCTTTCATCCTCAGCCCCACCCCAGAGCCCACATCCCCAGACAGAGCCTGTACCCCCCTCTCACCCCAAGCCCCTGCCCTGAGCCCGTGCCCGTACTCCAAACCCCTCGGCCCCAGCCCTGAGCCTCCTCCCACATCCAAACTCCTTCCTGGAGCCTGCACCCCCTTCCACACCCCAACCCCCTGCCCTAGCCCTGAGCTCCCTCTTACACCCCAAACCCCTCATCTCCAGCCCCACCCCAGAGTCTGCACCCCCAGCCAGAGCTGTCACCCCCCTCCTGTACCCTAACCCCATGCCCCAGCCCAGTGGAAGTGAGTGAGGCTGGAGGAGAGCAAGTGATGGAGTGAGTGTAGGGGACAGGGGTGTTCTGTTTTGTGCGATTAGAAAGTTGGCAACCCTATCTACAATAGGTTTCAGTTCAGGGACCCTCAGCCCAGTAGCTCTCAGTTTGTACTCTTCCAGCCCTTACTGCTCCTTCCTTGGCCTGCTTCCTACAGCATCACTACCGCTTCCTGCTCTTTCCCCTTTGCATCAGGGAGTATAACTGCAGATCTTCCTACCCCCTCAGCCTACCAACTTCCTCTCTATAGATCCTGTCCAGCTCCTCCCGCACCTGGACTTCACCAGCAATTAGGACCTAGCATGCCCTGCTTTTCCTCCAGGTGTAGCCTAAAGTTAATTCTCCTAATTTACCCCTTCAGGCCTTGTGTGGGGTAGACACCCCATCACAGGAGTTATTAATTAATGCAAATAAAAGGAGCGCAGCAATGATGTAAACTGGCTAATCCAATTGTGGGGAACGCATGTTCAATCACTATACCTTGCTCCAGGACTCCCAGGACTGTCACAGCAGCCAGCAAGTGAATCTGATCCAGCATGTTGTCTCTTCCAGATTATGGAGTGTCCGTTTTGTGCTAGAATGGTCTGCTGGTTAATTTCACTCTCCTCTGATCGGGAGGGCAGTATGTGTTATAGAAAGCAGGAAGGGTTGGCTCCTAGTGACCTTGCAAGCTCCAGAGATTGATGCTATCAACTGGACGTTGCTGCCTTTCCTTTTGACTGACACACACACACACACACACACAAAAAGTGAAGCAACAGGATGTTATAGGAGTCTTTAACCAGGTCAGAAATTTCCATTCCCACTCTCTTCCTTTTGAGAATGTATGGTAGGGAAATGGGGGAAACGTGTGGACCAGCAGCTGGGAGCAGAAGATAAGCACTATCAGCCAACAATCAGCTGACTAGAAAGTGTCTGATTAAAACTAAAAATCCTGACCACGTTCACACATACACCCAGGGGTGGCCAAAAGATGCTTTTCTGACTGGTATCACAGATGAAAACGCCGCTCTCCGTGGGATGTTATGTGCATGTATCTTTCAGCTTATTGGACAATAGTGACCCAGCACTGCCAGTGTATTTTCACTATACTAATTAATTTCAGATTACTCATCCTCAAAAATAACTGTCAAAACAAGAACTTCCCAATGGCTGTGACACCAGCATAATAATAATTAATAAATAAAATACCCATGTGATGATTCTGCCATAATGGTGGCATTGGATGGTGGGGGAAGTTCAAAGACAAACAGAATCTATTCTGCAGGGTAATACTTTACTTTGGTCCTGCCTCAGTGCAGGACGTATGTGGACTAAATGACTTCTTGAGGTCCCTTCCAGCCCTACATTTCTGTCATTCTGTTAAAACTTGCAGGCTGAGATTTTTCAAAGCCACTGAGGAGCTTTAGACACACAATTCCCAGTGAAACAAATGGGAGTCAGTCATGCACCTAAATCCTCCAGTCAGCTTTGGAATTCTCACCCACAGGTTTTACACTTTTGGCAAAGCTCCCATTGCCATCAATGGGAGTTCTGCTTGAGTGAAGGTTGCAGGATGCATTGGGACACAGCAAAAAACCCACTGATACTTGCTGTAATTTCCACCTGTGTAAATCAGGAGCAGCTCCACTGAAATGAATATCCTCCCACTAATGTAAAATTAGCATATGTAAGAGCTGAATTCAGCCCTTTGTTTCCTTCCTCTGTGTTATTGCTGAGTAGTTTCCCTTTAATCCAAACACAGAAAGGAGAGAGGAATAAGATAAAATGGTCATTAAATATGACTATGGAAGAAAACAAGGCCAACCCATCCTAGCTGACAGGAATTAAACAAAAGGTCAAGTGACATTAACAGGCTTCTCCTTTTCTAATACATATATTTTTAATGATAGAACTGCAAAGGAAACAAATAAGCTGGTGCCCTTTTTTGCTGCTTTATGATGGATAAAGAATACCAGAGGAATGTCCTTGCTTGTTTTTGTTTTTTTTTAATTTAGAAGTATTATTGTCTTCTAATCTCTGGCTTTTCTTGAGGATACAAGAAGGGGTAGGCGTTTTCTCAGACCTCAGTCCAAGGGGTTGGAGTCTTTTAATCTTTAACAAGAATTTTTCTCCCAAGTGTTGATCACATTGGAGCCTACTAACAACAGGAAATAAAAAACAAATACCAAAAATTGTAGAGCCCTGGTTCTTCTCTCACTTGCTTTGGTGTAAATCATGACAATATGCACTGCAATCAGTGGAGTTCTACGAGCATAAATTCAGTGTAAATGAGAAGAGAATCAGGTCTGAAGAGTTTTAAAGAATCTGAATTAAAAAACCTTTCTCCTCTCAATATCATGTGACATCATAATCCAGTGGTTCTCAAACTAGGGCCACCACTTGTTGAGGGAAAGCCCCTGGCGCGCTGGGCCGGTTTGTTTACCTGCCGCATCCGCAGGTTCGGCTGATCACGGCTCCCACTGGCCGCGGTTCGCCGCTCCAGGCCAATGGGGGCTGCGGGAAGCAGTGTGGGCTGAGGGATGTGCTGGCCGCCCTTCCTGCACCCCCATTGACCTGGAGTGGAGAACCACAGCCCGTGGGAGCCGTGATCGTCCGAACCTGCAGACGCGGCAGGTAAACAAACTGGCCTGGCCTGCCGGGGCTTTCCCTGAACAAGTGGTGACCCTAGTTTGAGAACCACTGTCATAATCCCTCCAATTGTCCAGTCATCCAGCAAAAACAGGGTCTGAGATTTTAATATTAAACAAAAGCAAAATCAATACATTTCTGAGTAGACAAAATTCTTCAGGCCACCTTTATTCTCAAAATGGGCATTACCCCTTTCTTCCCTTTGCAGGTAAACTTTAGCATTTTATTCTTTTTCAGTTCTCACTGTACAATTCAATAGTACAAAGGTCATGCATATAGGGTCTAATAAGAATTTCTGCTACAAACTGGGGGTCATCCCTTGGAAAAGATAAAGGAGGAGAGAGACCTGGGTGTGTAGGTTGATCACAGGATGACTACAAGCCACCAATGTGATGTGGCTGTGAAAAAGGCAAATGTGGTCCTAGGATGTAGTAGGCGAGACATTTCCAGTAGAAGGAGAAGTATTAATGCCATTGTACAAACCACTGATAAGACCTCATTTGGAATATTGTGTACAGTTCTGGTCACCCATGTTCAAGAAAGATAAATTTAAACTGGAACAGGTGCAGAGAAGAGCTACAAGGATGATCAGGGAATGAAGGACTTATGAGAGGAGACTGGAAAAGCTTGGCTTGTTTAGTCTAGCAAAAAGAAGGCTGAAAGGAGATATGATATCTCTCTATAAACACCTCAGGAAGTAAAATAGCTCGTCACCCTCCCTGATATCTAAGCTAAAGGACAATGTTGGTACAAGAACAAATGGATATAAATTGGCCATGAACAAATTCAGGCTGGAAATTAGAAGGTTTCTTATCATCAGAGGGGTGAGATTCTGGAACAGCCTCCCAACAGGAGTTGTGAACGCAAACAATTAGTTTTAAGAGAGCTAGACAAATTTATTAATTCAATTGTATGACAGGGTTGCTTGTGATGGTAGAGGGCAGGGCTCAACAGCTCTGTGGCTTACTTCTGCTTTATCTCTTATGTTCCTAAAGTTCATGCTTCAGGATTTCAGCCAGCCACCAGCAGGGGTCAGGAAGGAATTCCCTTCCCCTCCACCCCAATGTATTGTTGGAGGGTTTTTCATCTCCTTCTTCTAAAGCATCAGGGCCAGCCACGACTGGAGATGGGACATTGGGCAGGGCCGGCCAGGGCTCTGAGGTGGTACCAAGCATTCTCTGTCTCTCAGGTGCTTGGCTGGCTGGTTCTTGCTCACATGCTCAGGGTCTGCCTGAACACCATATGTAGGGTCAGGAAGGAATTTTTCCTCCAGGTCAGACTGGCAGTGACATTGGGATTTTTTGTTGTTGGTTTGGTTTAGTTTTTTTACCTCCCTCTGCAGTCGGGAATTTATAGGGATATGAAACTTTGGGCAACTATTTAGAGACAATCCATATAGATCAGTTGATGAAATACAACAGCTCACAAAATACATCAAAATTGCAGTATATCAGTACCTACCATTGAGACATACCCCACTCCTACAAAAAGGCAGAAAGTTGAAAGAATTTGAAAAACTACTTATAACATCCATGAAACAGAAAGGCTTACTGTCCATTCTATACAAAGTCATCTCTAACTGTTATTTAGAGAAAACAACCTATGTTTATGAAAAGAAGGAAAGTTGACCTGGGCATAGACAAGCAAAACTGAAAAATGTGAGAACATATGGAACAACGGTCCCCCACACCTCAATAAACACATTAATAAAATAAAATTATGTTAAAATTCTTTACCAGTGGGCCCTAACTCACCTTAAAATTAAACAGATTTATGGTACTGTACAGGAGTGGTAAATACAGGAGAGAATGTAATGAAATTTGGAGGCTTTCTCTATATATGGTTGATGGGCCCAAAATGAAGACCTAAATATGAGATTATGAAAGATTTCAATCGACACTGTCAACTGACAAGACAAAAGATGAAGAGTAGAAAAGTGTCAACCGCACAATATGTGATCAATATGATAAACTCTTGAAGAAAGTCACCGATAGCCGGTTTCATCAATACAACTTTAGAAACTTCCTTGGGCCAATTTATAGTTGTGTATATACTAAGATGTAAAACAAGTTTTGTACAATTTTTCTTATTAGAGAATACCTCAGACAATAAATACAAATTTTAAAAAGGGGGCTTGTTAGTTAAAATGTACATGTGTTGTTCTAATCCCATTCATGAGTAAGGATTTGCAGCATTATACAAACTAGAAGGGGTGGGGGACTGATGCGAAATTAAAAAGACAGATAATATTCATGCTTAAAGTGCATTTAATTCAAGCAGGTGTTTGTTTAATTAAGACATCTGAGTTCTCAAAATTATTGTTCCTCTTTAAATAAATCTATAACTTTTACCAAAAAAAAAAAAAAACCCTAGAAAACACCTAACAAGTCTTTCTGCAGGAAAACTGGGAAGACTTAACTCTAGTAAAAGGTTATGGAATAAAGCATACTTTGTGCATTTTATGAGACAACAAAACGAATAGAACCCCTCACTGCCTGCACATAACATGGCTGAAAAGTCAAAATACAATGTTGAAGTTACTTATAGGTTAAGAAGGATTGTCTGCATCCTTTGAGACATACAGTAAAAACAGTGTTCCCCATTCAAAGCTTTTAAAAAAGCCAAAGTTGTTGTGCCATCAAGAGGGTTTTACATGTATATAGGAGTTTTTGAAAAGGTATGGCAAAGAAAAGGCAGCCTATCTCCAGAGTGCTACAGCTCTACTGGCTAAGTTTTCATAGGATTTTATTCTCTCAGGATAGCAAAAGCCCCTGCCCCCTTTTCCTCAACCAATCGGGAGGCTTGCTTCTCTCCTGGAGGAGTGTGTGGACACTACTACTTCTGGGCTTGGCTGTGTGTGGTAGTGGAGGGAGAGAGTAACTTGCCAAAAATGGGGCAGGGAGTAGG